CCTTGGCCGTACAGCAGCCAGGAAAGGGGGTAACTGGTACACAACCCAAAGCTGTGCAAAAGCCCTCCTGGCCACGGCTGCCACCTGCTCTTTGAGCAGGAGCTGTAAGTCCTTTTTTATTACCTGCTTTTTATCACAAACCTGTATTAATCAAAGTAGTAAGATGTTCCATGATTGACTTAAATTGGGTTGGATAGTTTCCAAAACTTGTTCTGTCTGTAATCACATTGTTCTTCATACTTTGGTGTGTCTTCTTTAACAGATAAAAAGATAAATGATTGAAAGTTCTTGATCAAATACCACATACAAAGTAGGATATTGGCAAAGATCATATCTATATCCTGAAACTTAAAACACTTTTAGTCCTAACTAGGGAATGTAATGAAAATTCAAACTCCAAATAGTTTCTGATTATTTGAAGCAGCCTTGTTCAGTATTGAAATTGTATGCATACAGACAGATTTAGAGATTTCCTAATCCATAATACTTTTAATTTTTTTTAGACAAAAGAAGCTAGAAAAAGTGATGGAAGAAGAAGGCTTAAAAGATGATGAGGTATTGCATGTACTAAAACTTCTTGGTGATTATATATCAAACCTGTCCTAATACTGCTGTGAATGACTAGACTCTAGTTGTTGTTGTTTCCTTTTGAAAATCTATTAGAAAAGAATAAGAAGATCAGCACATGCCCGAAAGGAAACAGAGTTTCTGCGACTGAAAAGAACAAGGCTTGGGCTAGAAGATTTTGAGTCTTTAAAAGTAATAGGCAGAGGAGCATTTGGAGAGGTAAGATCCTGAGACTAATAATGTTAGAAGGAGTAATGATTTGAAGTTTCAGCAGATGGCAGAGCCTGTTCAATGTGTTCTAGGCTTGGAAAATAATCAGGGCCAGTCCTGGTTAGTACTTTGATGGATCTGTGTGGTAGTACTAGATCTGAAGGCTAGACTGAGAAGTTGAAAGAATATCCTGGAAGAAGGCACCGGCAAATCATTCCCATTTGTCCAGAAATCCTGCTGTTTTGTATAAAAAGACCCACAACTCTTTGTAGTCTATTTTTAGTACTAGTCATTTCTATATGAGTACTAGTCATTTCTATATGACTACAAAAAAGATGTCAATAATTCAGTATATTTTCTCAAGCAAGTGGACAACTAGGCAATAGTCGATTTTTAACATTATGTGTATTTTGCCAAATGATAGGCGGTTTCATGTTGAGCTCCATAATGATCTCTATTTCTGTATCCTAAATTATATTTATTTTTTTAAAAACTTGAATGTTCTATTAATTAGAAGGCAGTATTTTATTGGCTACTTTGAAAATCAGCTAACAGTTTAACTTCATTTTTCCAAAGGTTTAAAAAGCTCAGTTTATCAGCTAGGGAAGCACACTGCTTGCACCTTAGGTTGGATTCACATTATAATTTATTATATGTTTCTGTTTGGTTTTAACTTAGACCAATTAATTAATCAGTCACTGTGGTTTATAAACCATGTTTTATAGCTTTGTGTTATATGATTTGTTAAAACAGACCATGGTTTGGTACAATGAGTGAATGTAGCCACTGGCTTTGTTCCAAGTTTCATCATGGCATTGTAGTGCTATTACAGATTATTTTATTTATTATTTATTTATTATTAAATTTATCTCCGCCCATCTCCCCTAATGGGGGACTCTGGGCGGGGCACATAACCCATTAAAACAATAAATACCAGTGGTACCTCGGTTCACGAACTTAATTCGTTCCACAATTCTGGTTGCAAACCGAATTGGTTGCGAACCGAATCAAATTTCCCCATAAGGTTCGATGTAAATAAAGTTAATCTGTTCTGACCCCTACAAACGTGGTTGCCAACCAAATTGATCGGCAACCAAATCAAATTTTCCCATAAGGTTCAATGTAAATCAGGGTAATCCGTTCTGAACCATATGTATTTTTTTTTAACCACAAAAATAAGAAA